TTGCTGATATCTCACATGTTATCTTAAACCTTGATATCTTCACAAAGTTGAGGTGTCCTCCACACAGATTTTAAGGTTACACCGGCGCGAAAAATAGAGATTCTCCATTTGCTCTTCTAAATCCACCACCAGATCCCAACAATGCGTAGTGTTGGGAATACTCGCCAGTTCCAATTATCAATAAAAAATCACACGGGTGAACTGTTCACCGTTTTCCCTTTTGCATGTACAAATTGATGACTTAAAGCTTTGAAAGATATTTCCTTTAAACGCGTCACCATTTTCGTCTGCCCATTGACCGCCGCCTAGTGGCAGCCGCAGGCCGACTCCCGGCGGCCTATGGATGCTGCAACGCTGGGCGTTAAGGCATGTTTCTGAGGTTTTCGAGCGCGCAAGTTCAAAACTAGCTTACAGTAGTGTTTCACTAATCGATTCTGAAGAAGGTTGAACATTCGCAAATGAGCAAAGGTTGGCTAAGCAATTGTTAACCCGATTTCGATCTTCAATCTGATTTCACCGTACCCTCAATATCTGCTGTGAAACCCATACAAATTATGGCAATGCCTCAGAGTGCTATCGGCTTAGAACAAGTTCACTGGGCCATTTTAGAATGAAAGCGCCGGTGGATCATTCCATGCAGGCATTTAATTCTCGTCTCCTTCAGTTGAACTCCAAAGCGGAGACGGAAATAAAATGTTTCTTCACGTAGTTTCTGGCTGTGCTGCAGTTAAAGAAATGAAAACTTAAAATAAATCAGAAAAGCTAGCCCCGAAATGAAGTCGGCCATATCCGGTGGTTTAATTTTGGTGAAGGGAAGGAGGGCTTTCGCCATAAGGGTAACCTCGTCAACCCTGTGACCCCCCCTCCCCCACCATCACCACCTTACCAGGACTCTCGCTATGCCCCTGCGAATGCCTTTAAGCGTATTGCGCGCCCAGTGCTTCACGCGGGAGAAACTAAATGCACGCAAAACTAAAAACGTTCAGAAATTGACTTGCATTCTCCTTGCCAAGATATTCTAAATGAACAACGGATGGCGCAGCGTATCCGTTTTCGAGATACTGAGTACGACTTCTGTGTTTTTAATCAGAGCTACCATTCGGTTGCGTCCACTCGAAGGGTAGCGGAAAGTCCGGAAGTTTAGCCGCAGAACGATGCCATGTGCAGCCTTCAATGCTACCGACGATATTGCATTTCAAAGTGGGCTGGACCTGTTTGGGAATAGGTAAAATGGATGGGAATGGGTAAGATAAGAAATAAGTTGCTTCTACACCAAACCTACGACCACCATGTTTAAGTCCAGAAACATGGGGTAGGTGAATTGGGGGAGGCCTAGTCATTCAAAATATTCTGGAATGATTTATCTACCACTGCCGGCATCTGCCAGTCAAGATCAGGCATACTATGAAAGGTCACTTAGGTCACCAGCGGACGTCATGTGAGATCAACCTGTGCCTAAAGCAGGTATAACGTATGTAACAACTATATAACGAGCGATAACATACAATTAATCACTTACAGCACATTTATAGCACAGTTTATGCGAACTAGAAGAACAGATTATCAGTATTTAGTTAGTCAACCTGACCTTGGCCCGACTTGAGAAACCATAAATTTTAGCAACAGCAAAATACCTCGCGAATCTCAGGATGTTATCAGTGTTGCACAGACTCAATCTTGTCCCGAAGCTGAACAAACAAACGTCATCTTGCAACTTTGATGCTCTTACGCTTAGTTTCTCGGCAGCTCGACATGCTGTTTGAGCAGCGTCATTAAGTTATTTACGCCTGGAAGTAGTTAGCCCAGTCGTTGAAGCAAACACTGAGACCCGCCGACAAGTTTCTTTCCGTGATTTTGCTCGGTCTGTGTCCTCAGAACGCTTCGGCTAAGCTGCTTGTGTTCCGGGCGCACCGTAGCGCAGTAGCGCGTATCGGATAACAGGACGTGGGAAGCTGAATGACTGGAATGCTCACGATGTTCGTGGAATGCTCTTGAAGTGTGACGTTCGAGATAAGCCATTATCCAAACATATAGAAGCATTGTACCTTAAAACCAGCCACCATGTTCTTTCAAGTATATGAACTGCAAAATGCTGCCGCATATCGCAACTACTTTCTGTTTGACCCCGCTCTAGGTGTTGTCTCTGGAAAGGCCAGCCAATATTTGCTGCCAGGCGTAGGATATAAAGCAGTTGGAATGAAAAGACATATAAGCAACATACAGGATGCTATCTGGTACAAAATGAACATGAAGTAATGTCCCCAGGTACCTAGTGTATCAGCATTTCAGGGAAATGTCCTGCATTCCCTTGGTCCAGTATTCCTTTTTAAAACCCTTACCCTTAAAAACCCTTACCCTTAAACCCTTACTCTTAAGCCCTTAAACCCTTTTTAAAGCCCTTACTTTAAAAAAATGTTTAAAGAAAGAAGTCGAAAGTGACGGACGCATATTAAGTGTCGTCCCTCCGCTGTGTGGTGGTATTCTTGTGTGGTGCTGTGGTACATTTTTAATTTAACTGCGTGGTCCATGGGCTGAATGCGTGACGCATGGAAGGGATTTAGGGAATATTGGGCGCGGACGGGAGTTTCGATGGAACGTAACCGAAGTGCTACAAGGGGGCGGGATGGACAGCGTAACGCTACGTTCTGATGAGCCTGCGAATCATGCTGAAATATTTTTGACAATTTTTTTGAACGGTGTAGCCGTCAGAAGGCGTCATCTCGTCCAACGTAGCCCCCGTGGAAACCAGGGATGGAGGTTGAAAACTGTGAAAATGCATAACGTAATTTATCGAAGACTCAATTAGCGCTGGTCAATACTTGATGAGACCAAAGGGTCCAAAGACTGGTCCACAACCAGCAAACTTGGCCTCGGGCTTAAGCCAGGTTAAGTGCGCTAAATTTTTTGGTCTACGATAGATCCTGACAACGCAATCCATGAATAGCTACATTCCCAAAACGCACATGTATATGCCAGTAAGACGTCTTTCACGTCGCGGGACGAGAGATCCACAGCAGACCCAAACGTAAGCAAAGAGCCTAGCCACCTAGCCACCTGCATGAATAGAGGTTATGCTTTGGAATGTCTGTCTCCCATGTGTCTAGTTGGCAGAGGTGCACCGATGTTCATCTTCCGCTCATCTTCATCTTCCGGTTGGAGTATTGGCCGGCTTTGGGCTTCCCGAGGCCTGGGGATTTGCAGCCGACGAAATGAATAAATTTGGGCTTTTTTATCTTTCCGGTTGCCGCGGTGAAAGGATTGAATAACTGCGCTGTCTTGGTTGGAGGTTTCAGCATGTGCTTCGATATGACAAACCACTCCAAACTCTTGACCAAACCTTGTACTAACGGAGTCGAACGACTCTTCTTGGTTTTCGAGCTCTCTTTTCGAACGGCCTCCAACTACCTTCAAAACCCAACCCAGAGTGTTAGCATCACCGACAGTCAAGGCGTTTACAAAAATATCTTTGAAACTTCAGAAAAACATCAGCTCTTTAACGACGAACGACGAACGACGAGCGGCCGCCAGACTTACGGTACTTCCTGTGTCTTCTTTTTAAAGATTTGGCACGATTTTTTATTGATTGGATTTGTGGGATCAGCCCTACGTTAAGCAGAGCTTACTGCGTGACTCTTGACCACGCCGTGCCGTCGTGAAGTACCGGGTCAACGACGATATTTTTCGGAGCAAGCTTAACGTGCCGCAATGCTCGGCACGGTCCGTCCTGCCGTCTGACGTCACCTGACCTTCCTTTAAGCAGACGTTGAACCGCTTCTAACTGAGTGAGGCGCAGGCACTTGATACCGATCTCTCGCCATTACACCTATCCCAGCAGTGCATAGGTCCACCGCATCTGTTCGTGTGTGGATTTCTCAGCTGCTTGCTTTTGACACCCTATGACATCTCGCTTTATTTCTTGACCACGGGCGGTGGTTGTGTTAAACTGAGTTTAGCGAGAGCATTGTGGCCGGCCTAAATGCCTGTCTATACCCACGTGTATGTCCATCGATCAAACGATCTCAACAAACAGGTCCTCGCGCCTGAGAACTTTGAATGGCCCGATTTATCTTCATCCATGTCTCAGGGTGTTGCGCTTGAGGCCTATACCCATCAACATTTGTCAGTCTTATCTCACTGCAACACCTGGTCACCGAGACCTAGACTCGCCTCCGACAAGTCGTCCTACAGTTTGTTGATTGAATGGGAAGTAAAATAGAGGTTGTATGGTTACGTTGCAGAAGTACGCCGCCTGAGCAGACAGCCTGCATTGAAGCGGTGCGGAATATTGTGTCATTTTCTTCAGTGACTACGCTGCTTGTTGCTGTAGGTTTCACGGCGATGCGATTGGTGGCCGGGAAGACATCAGTCCATCAAAAGCATTATTGTTGGGATCAGGCTGGGTCGCGCCGCTAAAGCCACAGAAGTTCTTTGAAAAAAAGCAAAACACCCCTTAAGCCGTTTGTTCTCGGATACTATGAGTTGTTGGCATATTGGCAATAAGTGACCTTATACCGGGGGTACTGGTTGACCGATTCTATTTTCAAGAAGTAATGATGGGTAAATATTATGAGAAACTTGACGCCTGAAGAAAGTGATAATGGTCACGAACTTGTCTACTACTGGATTTTTACCTATATCATGTTTGTGACGATAGGATGACATTTCCGAGGAGATATAATTATTGTTCATTTAAGATGCTCCATATTAAATATGTATATATATATATATATAAACACTTATATATAGCAATGTATATATGACCATATATATAAACCTTTATATATAACAATGTATATATAACTATATAACTATATATATATATATATATATATATATATATATATATATATATATATATATATACATAACCTGGTCCGACCTACAGAGACGGGCACTGCTCAGCCATGGCAGATCACCAGGATCTGGCCGAGCTCACGTCTGGTGACGCCCCGAGTCTTGCACGGTCAGCGGGCACGTGCAGATCCCGAATATGTCCTCACCTTGAAGCGGCTGTCGGTGGTGAAGCTGTGCGTCCCCAGCGTCAGAATGTGGAGGTCCTGCTTTCTGAACCACGAAACCTGCCGACAAAGAGAAAGCAATGCGAAACCATGTCTTGAATCTCTCTGAGAGCTATCATGGCACAATTCATCGAATCGTTGATGATGTATAATCATGCATGTGGAGCACCAGTAATTCACGGAACCACGCTCTGTATCTTTTGCGCAGCTGTGCGTCGCACCGTAAAACATTTTCTTCTAGGGTGGAAGAACATTTTTACAATCGCATGTTATTACATGCTCTGAGCGCTGATCCCCCGAAAAATATAGCCTAAATGTAGCAAAGATAATGAGAAATATAGTGGATCAATAACACAACGTTTGCAAACCTCCATTAGAGAATCTTGGTATCAAACCCATTAAATAACCTATGCGAGCCTCCTTTTAACTAGCCCCCCGACTCATAGTGATCGCCACGAATGCCTAGCTACGGTCCAGGGGGCCTTGATTGGTGTTATAGATCCAGCACTTCCCTGAGGGCTTGTTCGTTCCCCCGGCAATCCCGTTCCGGCCACGACGTTACAGAGCCGCCTGGCAACTGTGCCAGCTTGACAGCATCTTTCAAATCTATCCTGTTATCATGGCTGGTAAATCGTAAATATCGCAGAGCGGCAGTAAATGTCGCTTGCGCGCCATTGGCAGCAGCACAGGTAGGCGTGTCCTCACCATCCGACCCCGGAATGCGCTGGAAGCATGAGGTAGAACCCGATGGATCACTCCATGGTCCAACTCATTCAACGACCTTTGTCATGACACCTCCAGATCAGCCAGTGGCCTCCAGGCCACGTCAAACAAACCGTTTTTAGCAAATGGTGCGTAATAACGTTCTCCAAAACCAAAAAGCATAAGGTGCCCGTTGAAGCGAAACAGGGTCACACAGTCATGGTGAATCACGGTGATGGAATACGAGAGAACTGATCAAAAGGGTGTGTGAAGTATTTACAATGATATATAGACCACACACACACACACACACACACACACACACACACACCACACACACACACACACACCACACACACACAACACACACACACACACACACACAACACCCACACACACACACAAACACACACACACCACACACACACACACACACACACAACACACACACACACACACACACACACACACACACACACACACACACACACACACACACACACACACACACACACACACACACACACACACACACAGCACACACACACACACACACACCACACACACCACACACACACACACACACCACACACACACACACACACAACACACACACACACACACACACACACACACACACACACACACACACCACACACACACAACATATATATATATATATATATATAGATATATATATATATATATATATATAGATGTGTGTGTGTATGTATGTAATGTACATAAATAAATAAGTAAATATGTACATCATTATAGAAAACACCGAAAATGGCAAATCGTTCGGTGCACTTGGTATTTGCGGTGTTCCAA